GCTTGCTGTTCAAGGTGAAATGGTATGACGAGGAAGATCGACATAAGCTTAGCTCATCGTCGAAAATTCTGTTCTGGGAAGAAGGACCATGTAGCACAGTTAAAATTTAGCACGATAGGGATATAGCCGATTAGGCTAGGAATGACTAGAAGGATTATTAAACTCATAAGCGACGAAAATTAACTTAGAGTTATCGAATCGAGATGCGGAATCGGTTCACTTACCGGTGTTCTCGAGTGAGCAACCACTCAGAACCCAGGGATATTGGAATTGGTGATCAATAGTAGTTCGATGAAGAACTCATAAGAAGTTATGTAGTTCCTGCGATATTCCCAAGATACCAAGGGGTAACACTCGAGGGTAAATCAGAACACAGGTTGGGCAGGCATATTGGTTTGCAGAAGACAAGTGCTTTAGCTTGTCCGCGAAATGGGATCAAAGAAGAACAATCATGGTCGGGACCACGATTGCAAAGTATCAAAGCAAAATACCTAATGGATTATAACAAGAGTTTATTATTATTATTTTTACGAGCAGCTTCCATGATAAGTTCTACATCGGGTCCATGGGCATGAACAGAAAGGTTCAAGGTCGACTCCCACTCTTCAATGCATAACCTCTCATTCACTTCTTGCTTTCGATGGAAAAATTCTGCCAAAATTATGAGAAATAAAAAAATTTGCATAGAAAGACAATGCAAAAGGAATCAGAACCGTTCCAGTAAAAAATGTAAAATCGCGCACTACAACCAAAGTTTCTATCCTACACCGTACAGACCAGCAAGCAAGGTAAACATCCTAAAGGCAAACCTTGGCACATTATTTTTATAATACAATGGAATTGTACAAGGGGATAATTATTTTTATTGAAAAGTTTATGTATTCAAGATCCATAAAGTTTCCGTGAGCATGAACAAAGTTCAAGGCTAGCTCCCACTTCAACAATGCTCGTCTTTCTCACTTTCGCTTTCCTTTTTGAAAAAGTTTTGGGTTACCTACTTTATTTTTTTGTTTTTAAACTTTATAAAAGCACTCAACAGAAATATAGACTCTCTAAAACTTCCGGGTTGTCTCCCTGGCAGCGCTTTCTTTAAAGCCATTAAGCTAGGCATATAGTGCTCAAATAATGAATCCACCCAGATCCCAAGGTATATCAAAGCCAATTTTAATTAATAATGATTTATAATTTAGTAGTGATCACAAAGTAACATATATCATGTAATAACGAAGTATAACTCTCTTCCTATGCATCGGCATGTCATAAAAGAACAATTCATGCACACAAAGTAAAGGCCAATTCATAGTAGAAACAGTTTCTTGCAATTTTATCGTGTGGGAAACATAGAGAGGTGGAGATATAGTTCCTTTCTCACAATAATTGCAAGTAGGAGCAGCAAGCACATGCATATTATATCTATCAAAATCATGATGTGTAATAGTAAAACGCAACCCATCAATATAATCCTTAATAAGGCTAAACTTCTCCGATATAGTGTAGTTTGGAGAATTCAAAAAGATAATAGGACTATCATGTGTGGGTGCAATAGCAACAATTTCATGTTTAACATAAGGAACTATATCAAGTTCATCTCCATAAGCATAATTCATATTGGCATCTTGGCCACAAGCATAGCAAGCATCATCAAAAAGGGATATTTCAAAAGAATCAACGGGATCATAGCAATTATCATAGCATTGATCCTTCAGTAAGCACAAAGAGAAATTAAACAATGTATGAGTTGAGGAGTTACTCTCATTAGAAGGTGGGCACAGGTGATCAATCCGCTCTTCCTCCTTTTGTTGTTCGCTCTCCTCCTCATCTTTTTCATTGAATGAGTTCACAGTTTCATCAATTTCTTCTTCCATAGATTCCTGCAAAATATTAGTCTCTTCTAGGACAAAGGAGACTTTCTCAATAAACGCATCAATATCAGAATTGTATTCATAATTCTCATAACAATATTTAAGGATAGCTAAATTTTCAGGTCTGTAGACAGCATCATAAAGATTTTCATATTCTTTGAACATAGATTCAATCTCATAAGCACTCATAAAAGCAACAAATTCTTCTATTTGTTCCACATCATAGTAGTCATATATACCTCTAGCATAAGAAGCCAAAGTTTCATTATCATTAAATTCACATGAAAAGGGAAGGTGTGGAGACTTCATCCTAGAGCAACAAGTATAATCATATCTCAAGCATAGTTGCCTAGCATACCAATACAACATATAAATTTGATCCCATAATAGTTTCCCTTTTTCAGTCAAGCGATAATCCCTAAAGTATTCACGTTGATCCAACGTGTCTCCCATTACCAAATTGAATGGGGTTTTCTCTGGATTATCAAAGTAGTACATAATATCTGTCACATAACGAACATCGAGGCTTTTAGGAGGTTCCTCATGTCCATGAGCAGCAAGTACACCTAATTTTTTTGGTATTTCGTGTTCCATATCCATAACTATAGATAAAGAACCACTATGAACAGCAAATAAAAATTACTTAGTGATAAAGCAAACAAGCACACACGAGAATATTCACCCCACGCTATTGCTCCCCGGCAACGGCGCCAGAAAAAGGCTTGATAACCCACAAGTATAGGGGATCAATTGTAGCCTCTTTCGATAAGTGAGAGTGTCGAACCCAACGAGGAGCTAAAGGTAGAACAAATATTCCCTCAAGTTCTATCGACCACCGATACAACTCTATACACGCTTGACGTTCACTTTACCTAGAAAAAGTATGAAACTAGAAGTATTCTGTAGGTGTTGTTGGATAGGTTTGTAAGGTAATAAAGAGCATGTAAATAAAAAGTAGGGGCTGTTTAGATAAAGACACAACTAAGTTAGTTTTAGTAAAGAGCTTGTTGTCACACAAGAAAGTTATTTGTCCCTAGGCAATCGATAACTAGACCGGTAATCATTATTGCAATTTTATTTGAGGGAGAGGCATAAACTAACATACTTTCTCTACTTGAATCATATGCAGTTATGATTGGAACTCTAGCAAGCATCCGCAACTACTAAATATCATTAAGGTAAAACCCAACCATAGCATTAAAGTATCAAGTCCTCTTTATCCCATACGCAAACAAGCTACTTACTCGGGTCTGTGCTTCTGTCACTCACGCCACCCACCATAAGAAAATCATGAACATAATGCAAACCCTACAGCGGGGATCCCTCACGCTTGCGCGACACAGAGAGCACCATACGACAGAACCAATAATAAAACATGCAACTCAAACCAATCTTGATCATCAAATAACCCATAGGACAAAACGGATCTACTCAAACATCATAGGATAGCCATACATCATTGTCAAATAATATATAGCATTGAGCACCATGTTTAAGTAGAGATTACAGCGGGTAAGAGAGAGGTTACACCGCTGCATAGAGGGGGGAAGAGTTGGTGATGATGGCAGTGAAGTTGTTGGTGAAGATTGTGGTGATGATGATGGCCACGGCAGCGTTCCGGCGCCACCGGAAGAGAAGGGGAGAGGGGGCCCCTTCGTCTTCTTCTTCCTTGACCTCCTCCCTAGATGGGAGAAGGGTTTGCCCTCTGGTCCTTGGCATCCATTGCGTGGGAGGGGCGAGAGCCCCTCCGAGATTGGATCTGTCTCTCTGTCTCTCTCTGTTTCTGCGTTCTAGATTCTACCCTTTCACCATTTCTTATATTCCCGGAGATCCGTAACTCCTATTGGGATGAAATTTTAACACAGTCTCTATCCGGATATTAGCTTTCTTGCGGCGAAAGAAGGGCATCAACCTCCTTACGGGGTGGCCACGAGGGTCAGGGGCGCGCCCAGGGGGTGGGGTGTGCCGCCTGCCTCGTGCCTCCCTCGGGCACCGTCTCGCGTGGATTTTTCTTCCCAAAAATCATATATATTCCAAAAAATTCTCTGTCAATTTTTATCCCGTTTGGACTCGGTTTGATATGGATATTCTGTGAAACAAAAAACATGCAACAAACAGGAACTGGCACTGGATCAATATGTTAGTCCCAAAAATAGTATAAAAAGTTGCCAAAAAATATATTGAAGTTGTAGAATATTGGCATGGAACAATCAAAAATTATAGATACGACGGAGACGTATCACTCCCTCCGACCCTGCCAACATTGTTGCAGCTGCACTCGCAAGCCTTAGCGTAGATGATCATTTATATGATTTGCATAAAACAAAAGATCTACAAACGAATAGAAGCTAGAACGTACCTTGGCATGCACACACATTGCAAGCCATACTAAGCTGATAAGTGTTATAAACTTGTACAACATATACAACACTTAAGACAAGTAAAAGCAATTTGATGAATCATGGCCTATCAAAGCAAGCCACATTACTAGTCTAATCCATCTTAACAGGTCACACATGATTACAATCTTGTTTGTGTGCAAGTCAAGCTTGTCTAGTTACAGTAACAACTTGTGGAACATTACAAAATTGATGTTTGCTAATAACTTCTAGAACACTACAACACTTGACATGTATAAGGAATTTGATGAGTCATGGCCTACTAAAGCAAGTTATATTACTACTCTTATCTATCTTAACAGGCCACACAAGATTACAAACTAAGTTCTGTATCAGCCATGCTTATCTAGTTTATGCGTAACAATTTGCAGAACATTACAAACTTAGTTTCGGAAAAATAGGCAATCTAGATTAGTGTTTGAGCTGTAAAGTGAATAAGATGAGTCATGCGTGTTATCACACCTCTTTGGTGGTGGAATGATAGTGCAACAACATGAAAATTTAGTGACTAGTCCAAGAATACACATGTAAGTAGTGCCACCAAACACAACATACCAAATTATGATTTTGGGAAGCATCCAAGCACTTTCCAGACAAGAAAATGCCAATTGTGAAAGAGATCATGCCATGGGAGCTATAAAAAGCCTTGTAGCATGATCATCATCCTTCCTCACCCATCATTCTCATAAGTAGAGCGCATCATTCAAGCCAAGCAAGCAGTGGTCAATACAAATCCACCATGAAGACCTTTCTCATCCTTGCCCTCCTTGCTATCGTGGCAACCACCACCACAACTGCAGTTAGAGTTCCAGTGCCACAATCACAGCCACAAAATCGATCTCAGCCACAGCCACAAGGGCAAGTTCCATTGGTACAACAACAACAATTTCCAGGGCAGCAACAACCATTTCCACCACAACAGCCATATCCGCAGCCGCAACCATTTCCATCACAACAACCATATCTGCAACTGCAACCATTTCCACAACCGCAACCATTTCCGCCACAACTACCATATCCGCAGCCACCACCATTTTCACCACAACAACCATATCCACAACCGCAACCACAGTATCCGCAACCACAACAACCAATTTCACAGTAACAAGCACAACAACAGCAACAACAACAACAACAACAAATCCTTCAACAAATTTTGCAACAACAACTGATTCCATGCAGGGATGTTGTCTTGCAACAACACAACATAGCGCATGCAAGATCACAAGTTTTGCAACAAAGCACTTACCAGCCATTGCAACAATTGTGTTGTCAACAGCTGTGGCAGATCCCCGAGCAGTTGCGGTGCCAAGCCATCCACAATGTTGTTCATGCTATTATTCTGCATCAACAACAGCGACAACAACAACCATCGAGCCAAGTCTCCTTCCAACAGCCTCAGCAACAATATCCATCAGGTCAGGGCTCCTTCCAGCCATCTCAGCAAAACCCACAGGCCCAGGGCTCTGTCCAACCTCAACAACTGCCCCAGTTCGAGGAAATAAGGAACCTAGCGCTACAGACACTACCTGGAATGTGCAATGTCTATATCCCTCCATATTGCTCGACCACCATTGCGCCATTTGGCATCTTCGGTACTAACTGAGAAGAGAAAAAACATTTTCTTAGTCCCATGGTTTGGTCGTTGTAGCTGTGAAAAAATAAAGTGGCATGCACTATCATGTAAGAACCCGAACAATACTAGTTCAAACTTGGGAATAAAAGACAAACACAAGTATTGTCTACATATGATTGTTTGTTTGACTTCCATTCATGTGCACGTTCACAAGTTCACCCCTAATTTTATATATTATGCATTAAGTAGATATTTCTTTTGCATTAATCTAAAGATAACAAAATGAGTCTGAAACTTGCATTAAATTGAAGTATTTTCTTGGATTTTCAAATGGAGTATTGTTAAAGTAGTAAGGACTATCCAAATCCTTGACTTGCCCTTGATCAATTATTTCCAGAGAAGCATTCAATTCATCAATCAATTACATTGATTTTTGTGGCTGGTACTTCTCCTCAACATGAGTATATTCATTGTGACTACTCCAAATCGGCATGAATGAGGTACCGGTGCTCTGGAGTAGATCTAGCTGACTGCTTCTCATGTGAACGGGCGCGGGCGCGGGAGAAGTGTTTCTGGTGGGCCGGGGGAGAAAGAAGCGTATTGGATGACAAAACATGTCTGGATGGTTGCAAGCGGTTTGAGTGTTAGCTTTGGAGATAGCCCTTACCTGGCCCCTCGTTCTGAAAACACATTTGACAATAGTTTTCTCTCGGTCCAAATATATGTGAAGTTTAACAAAGTTTATAGGATTTTTTTATCATATCTACAGTATCATACAAATACACCGTAGAAAAAAACCATATTTCACGCTGCACCATGAATTGGTCAGGTAAATGTTGGGTATGGAGACTCTATTCTCTTTTGGCAAGAGTTGCCTCGGTCTCAAAAGTTTCATGAACTGTTCTCTTTTGCCATTAAGAAAAAGCTCTCTTTGGCTGATTTTATTCATAGTGACGATCTGGCTCTCCATTTTCATAGGCATACCACCCAGCAAGCTCTTGCTCAATTCATTGACATCATTGACTTAGTTCATCAAATTTTTTTCAACAAAGGGAATAAAATAATATCACGACCTCTCGCAAGAAATAATAATAATGTCATGACGATACCAATTACACCCGTCTTCTCTACCAACAAGATATCCAAAGACATTAAGGATATACACAACCAGAAAAAAGAATAGAAGAAAAAGACCGCGCCAAGGTGATAAGTCACTAGCATCAGTAGCACTCTAACCACACCGAAGACAACGCCCGGATTACAAAAAAAGTTCTCCAAAAGCAACCCCCGAGAAGGAAACAATGCACAAGCATTGTCATTGTCCGATCGTAGATCGTGGGTTTTGACCCTAGAAAAATTCCAAGCTCAGCCAAAAACATTGCCTTCAACTAGGCCATTGCCAGGTACAACCAATAAATGCTAGACCTTGGATTTTCACCCTAGGAACTGAGACTCAGTACTTGAGGAGTACCACCAAAAATGCAGTCCTCCATTGATGGCACCCCCGCTTGCCGAGTCCGCTGTTTCAAGTCACCAAACACCTGGCGCACATTCTTCATCGCATCAATTACACCCTTCCACCAAAGCTTCAAGACCTTCAATTGCAGCCGCCATGACTTTATCCACCTCTATCAATGCCTTGAGAATCTATACTTAGACATGTCCCATGACACCAATAGGAAATCAAAGCTTCTTGACGTGCCCTCTTGAGGTCGTGTTGGCTGATAATATGAGCGTGCGCGACCGGAGCCTTTCCGATCTAGATATTCACGAGCGACATACACCAATCCATATAGATCTCCGATGGGAAATACCGAAACTCGTAAGCGGCTAGATCTAAGAGGTCGACATCCAGCAGAAAGACGACTTGGCCGAAGAACAGTACTAGGGCGCACCATTATTAGGCCGACACTAACGTTCCCCACACGCCGCCCTCCTCTCGATCTAGACCTACAGGAAAAGATCAGCGACGCTGCATCGTGCCACTTGCATCCGTGGAGGCCCGAACTTGGCAAAACGCCAACCATGGCAGGAGACTGGGACAAGCCACTCCTGGGCTGATCCGGCCTGTTCATGTGTCGGTTGAGACTTGGCGTTCAGACTTGGCATTTGGCACGTGGCCTGTTCATGTGTTTGATTGGGCGTAATAGTGTGTGGGTACTTCAGTTAGATGGTATGCAGCGGACTGAGTTTATCAACCGTGTGGCGACGCCTGTAGATTGTAGCACTAAACTACAGGACTACAAAAAATGTGCTAGTTTTTTTTTGCTCACATACTCTGTTTTGTCTCAGTTTTAGTCCAGGGCAACTTTGGAGCTTATTTTAGGGTGGTAGCCAGAAAAATGTGTTAGCACCTTACACAGGAGAAATAAGACCTTATTAAGAAGTGAAGAAGAATAGACGTCTCCAGTTTTTGTTTCTCCAACTCTATGCCTACACTGTAAATTATTTATGAATTAGCTCCAGTTGATGCAACTGTACTCTTTCTGGTAGGTCTGAGATGGACTGAGCATCCTAAGCTAGCTACTTGTCTCCCTTAAGTTTTGCAGCAAGACAAATGCACTGGACTACAAAGAGGAAAATTCTTGCAGGTTCGTAATGAATCTGTTTTGGTTCTGGCATTCACACCAATCATAAAGCAGTGTTTGTTAGTAGCGGAGTGGTAGGCAGACGCAAATCAAACCATCATTTTTCTTCTAAATACACTTGTAAAAGCATCGATGCATCTCCGTCGCTTAATTTTATTTGTCATTCTGTTCAGTACCTGGTTTGGTTTAGGAACAGCTCTTTTTCCTATGCAAAATGTATAACGTGTATGTTTCTAATTCCGATTGCAGGCATATTCATCGCGCTTGTGTTTTGACGTGTTGCGGGCAACCAAGAGTCGTTCAACAGTGTGTTGCTGGGGTACGCCACCGGTCTGACAGTAAAAGGTAGCGCTGATGAACTGGTTTCAAGCCGAGCTGATCAGTTCTGCTGTTACTAATATATCATGGCATCTTGCGGCTCTCGGTCGATGTTCTGTCATCTATGAGGAGAGAGTTTCCATTTAATCTAGCTGCTAATGCTTTGTATACAAAATTATAGATGCCTACAGAATACAAAATCAAAAGTTATTTTCTTAGTCAAACTGGAAAATTCATAGATTTGCAGGAACATCTGTACATAAAGCCTTTTCCATCAAAGTATGTACATACATTGTTTATTTTAACACAAGAATGTAGGACTCGTTCAATACTATTTGACTATTCATACAAAAAAAAATAGAATTTCTTAAAATAAGGGAGCACATCTTCTCTGGTTTGATCACTGAAGTCATCAATTGAGCAGTCCAGGTTCACCTAGTTATCTATTTCAAAACTTAGGGAGAACAATTTGGGTGATACTTTTTCAAAGTACAAGGCACATATTTATAGTTCATTGAAATGCACCTATATTTTGACCTCATTAATATCTCATCCTTCATAATAAAGTATGGCCAAACAAACAGAGAAACCGCTAGTTTCTTTCATGTTCCCCAGACGATAACACCATAGCTATTACTGTCATTCCCCTTCTCTCTTAATACCTTCCATCCTTTCCATTATAATTAATGAAAATGAAACATATCATTCTCTTGGCTGTATTTTTTTCCTAAAATGTTTAAGGTGTATGTGTCATTGAGTGAATATATTATGTTGCAAAGTTTCACGAAATTTAGTATGCAACCTGTATGCAAGAGAAATAAAGATTAAAGTAAATTTAGTTATTTTTATTAGCCATTATTGTTTTTAGAGAAAACAATAGGCAAGTCACTTTTTCATGAAAGCTGGAGACAAATAGTGTATTCTAACATAAAAATGGTCAATTTTCCTCACATACACACACACACACACGCACACACACACACACACAAACTTAGAATTTTTGGAAATAATGGGAGCAATGGCCATGTGAAAATATGAGGTTTATATCTTGTGAATTTCCTTTCAGTGTACAAGGCCTGCATGTAGAATGGATATTTTTTTTCTATATTTGCTTCCCTAATTTAAATGTTATCCTTCATCATCAATTGTGACAAAAAATAAATAGTAACTGCTAGTTTCTCTTATGCTTATGAGGAGATAAGACCATGGATATTTTAGTCATTCCACTTTGCTATTGATTGTTTCTGTTCTTTTGCGCTGAATAGTAGTCAAACATGTTATTCATGTATTTCGTAAGGATAAGGTCGAGCCTCATGATAAGGATAGGGTCGCGCTATTCGTCACCCTGGGTGAGGCATTGTTATTCTTCACCCCCCTCTATTTTACCATCAATGCACCGTAAATTTACGTTCCGTAAGTTTTGTCTTATTTCCGACGAAAAAAGGGACCGTAAGAAAATATATAATCGCCGTAAAAAATATTTTATGTTATATAAAATTACAAACATAAAAACATAGTCTAAAATACACATAAACTGCAAATTTTCTTGTCTTATGACCTATATTTTTATTTTCTTATGTCAAATTTTACGTAGTGAATCAATAGGAATGTAACTATTTGAATTCAAAATGTAATTTAATTATGAAATGATCGTAAGATTACCTCAGGTGAAGAATAACTTATTCTGCACCCTGGTTGATGAATAGTAACACTATATATTTGGTGTTCAGTATGACATAACAAACACACATTGTGAGAAGGAGTAGTGTATATTGTTCTCTAGTGCACTTTGTTCAGCAAATTGGGTGAAAATGTTCAGTAGAACAATCCGGGAGATGTGCATTGGCATGTTGTTGAGCTTGCGATGCGTTATTTACAAGGTACTGTGAACTTCGGAATTCACTTTTCTGGGTACCTGACGGTACTTGAGGGGTATAGTGATTCGAATTGGATATCTGATGCTGATGAGATGAAAGCCACAAGTGGGTATGTCTTCACACTTGATGGTGGTGTTGTTTCCTAGAAGTCTTGCAAGCAGACGATCGTAACGAGATCGACTATGGAAGCAGAACTCACAACATTAGACACCATGTGTCCAAGCAGAATGGCTTTGAGAGCTTTTGA